TTCAAGCACCGCGTCCTCGACCTGCTTGCCATCTTTGTCAAGAAGGAAGCAGCCATCGCGAACCCGCTCGCTTTTGAGGTTTTGCTGCCCCTGCTGGAGCTAATCCGCACGACCACCACCAAACCACTCGCCAATAAAGCGTGCGAGATGATTAATCAATTCTCCAAGGCGCTCAAGAAGGCCAAGAGCAGCTTTACCACTGAAATTAGCGACGAGCAGGTCGAGGAGCTGGTGGCGAAGTTGCAGGAGGTGCACTCGGAGGCGCCCAAGGACGGGTCGCACGCGTTTGCCAAGGCGGCATCGACGGCGAGCTTAGCGATCGCGTCGGTGTTGGTAGCGAGGGAGAAGACGGAAGAAGTGTTTGAGCTGTATGCGGATTCGCAGTTGAAGTGGTTCAAGGGCGATGTCAAGATCCAACCGGCCTTCTTCTCGGATTGGCTTAACTGGTGCCAGAGCCATGCTAGTGCTAGTGCTAATGCTGCGGCGATGCAGGAGTAGAGCTAAATAGGTGGTGTTGAGAGGTTTATAGGTGAAATGGAGGGAAGTGATACTATCAGTATACGATGATGGCGCAAAAAGCACCGGCGGTATCATAGAAGTGCCAATGAACCCCTTGCTTGCTAGTTCCTACTCTTGATCAACATTTAAACCCCCCAAAGGCAAAGAAAGGAGAGTAGGCACAACATGTGGACTGTTTTCGTTGTAGATTTCAAACTTTCTATTCATCCCCCCAACCTTTTCCAAGTACGGCCCGTGGCGAAAGACCGACGCGATGGATGACTTTCAAGCCCATATGCAATAACAAAAGACAACTCAACTCAACTCGACTCAACGCAACTCCTGAAGGAATGACAAAGCCGCTGATGCGCAGATTAGAAAAAATACATGTCCAGCGCCATCGGACCCAGCCCAAAAATGCAGTGTCGCGAATATGTGTGTCTCATTTCTGGATATTCCCCATCCGATGTTCGTACAGGGAGCTTTCTTCTGATAGGATTAGGAGACGGATCACCTAAGGACCTTCAAAGAATAGCTCAGCTGCAATTATGTCTGGGCACACACACATGTATATATATATTTACAGCATCTTTGCGTGGTAGAATGGGGTAAACAAGTAGGGCACGTTGCTTACTCGTACGGCCACTAGAGGACTGACGTTATCGAGATTCTAATTTGAAGCATGATTCTCGCCGGACCTCACAATCATGAATTGTTGTATGTATTGTATGTAAACGACTATCCAGTCGGGATAGTGTTATGGTTAGTGCAACATATACTACCACTATGTGTAATGCGATGCAGTGGTCTAAGCCAAGTATCGGTACGTTGACGAGTCACCTTCGACCCGCTCCAGGTACTCTCTCGCCAGGAGATCCTCAATCCGTTTCTTGATTAGCGGTACGTCGGGCTTGAAGCGGCCCATGAGTTGCGAGATCACCTCGTTGACGAGCTTAGTATGGGCCAGTAACTTGCGTTGCCTGTAAAAGTAAAACGTTAGCTTCGGGGACAAAATACATGCTAACCGACTCGGAATGGGGCAACGGGCAAAATGACTGACTTCATGATTCTGACAACCGCCGCATCGATAACATGAGCGCGCGTCTGATCATTCTTCCTTTCCGTCTCCTTTCGCTCCTCGTCTCCCTCGACCTTGGAAATGCTGCTTATAACGGGAGCTTTGATCCTGATAGCCTTGCTCACAAACTGTGCGTTGTAAGAGAACTTGTCGGTATTCTTGACGTTCTTTGTGGCCGGTTCCTTCAGCAGTACCCTGCACTTGGGAACACTCGAAAGGGAAGTCAGTGTTCGCATGAGCTCTGGTGCCGGAATGTTCGTCTTGGCTTGGATTTCGTCGAAGCTCAAACTTTCGCCGTCCACGAGATCGTTGAACAGCATAAGCACAATCATGCCATACGTCGAGACGTTTAGCTCATACCGCCTTTCCTTGCTCAAAGGTCCAGTCTCCTTGCCCGGAACCTTGGGAAACACACACTTGATGTCCGCATTGCCCGCCGAGCTAACCCATGTGAGAACACGGCCGCTCCTGTCCTTGAGGTAGTACTTGTAGAAGCTCTCCTGGAGCCGCTTGATTTCGGGTGGATAGAAGCAATCCGGTTTCGCCCCTTCTCCCTTCGACGTACCACCACCCATTACCTCGGGTGGCCAGTTGTTGGTGGTCAGGACGTTGATGTTGAGGTCAACCGTCTTGTAGTCGGCATCACCTAAACTGGCGATATGGTCACGGTAGTTGTCGGTTAGGTCCTTGGACAACTCCATGTCCTTGAACATGCCTTCAAACTTGGATGTGAAATGGTTGCCCATTTCCGACTTCATACGGGATACCATCTCCTTCTCGGTATGGATTTCAGACTTCCTATGCAGTAGCCGCTTGGCCAGATGTTTCTGGTAATACCTTTCGAACATGTCTCGATCTGTAAGATATCTGAGAAGAACGATGGCTTTGTCCAAGACAGCATCTACTTCGGCTTCCGTCTTGGTCTTGATGCCGCGTTTGAGGTTGTCATCAATGAAGAGCGAAACATATTCAGAACTGCGATTGAAAGAGTTGATGAAGTCAGAGAAGCTTCGTGTGATCGCGGACTGTAGCAGGAGATCATCGCAGAAGCAATCGGACAATATTCTGTCGAACTTGTCCTTAAGCTGCAATACGTCGTCCACCCACTTGATAGCGGCAGCGGTTTGCTGCTGAGCCGGATTCAAGGTCTGGGGTTTGGCCTTCTCTGCCGCTTCGCCAGCCTCCTCACCATCCCCAGTAGCTGCACCAGCGACGGAAAAGTCTGTGTTCTTGAGCGCCTTCTCAATCTCCAGTCCAAGCTCCCGTACTCTACGTTGTAGAATAACCTTCAGCGCCGATTTCGTACTGTCCACTCTGGATATGAGTTGGTACAAGATCGAAAGGTCGTCCAAGCGATCATTGTCGATCATGGGCTTCAGGCCGCTCCCTTCCATGGCCAGAAAGACATCAAGCTTTGCCTCGATGAGCTCCTTCTCCACAACACTCGCGATTTTGTCGGTCGTCATAATTGATAGGGTAGTACCACATCGCTCGCGCTCCTCATTTAGTCGCCGTTGGGCATGGCGGAGCCATGTGCTGCAATTTGCTTCCTGGACCAGCTTCTCGCACTCTTTGCGGTAAAACTCGGTGCTTGCCTCGAGATACCGGGGTTCGAAAAGGGTTAGGTAAAGCCGATGGTTTTCGATCTCGTCATCTGTCTCGTATAAGCTCTCAAGCATTGCAGTTATTTTGCGCACTAGGTTTCGGTTGATGATATCGCCGTCGCGCTCCATGTTGATCAGGTCCAATATGACGGCGCAGAGAATGTCAAAGACGACAAAGTCTTGCTCGATATCTTCTGCGGCGGCGCCAATGTGGCTCCGGAGGACATTGTTCCGGAAGAGACCAATTGTAACGGCAAACAGAGAGGGCTGCTTCGTCTCTAGGGTATAGACACGGTCAAGATACATGAGCACGTCCGCAATCATGTTCATGGACCTATTGTGATCCGTCCATGAGTCTCGTATTCCGCGCAGGAACTTTTCGCCCATCTCCCTGCGCTCATGTGAACTCGACCCCGGGTGCTGAAGCAGCGATATGTTGATCAGGTTCTTGGTGATCAGGGCGGCGATGTTCGGCATGATGTGATCTCGGAACCATTCCTGCTCAAAGTCTCTAACCCTCTCGTAGAGTAGGGCGCCCTTCTTTCGGAGCACAATCTTGTATGAAGCTCGGTATAATTGTTCGAAGGACAGACGGCCGGCGTTCTGTAGGTGAATATCGGTCATGGCGTCGCGCAGGAGTGCCCAGCATGGCTCGAACTCGCTCTGGTCTCGATTCGTTATCGGCTAACATATCATTAGCTTTGACTGCATGGTAAAAAGCGCCCAAACCGTGTAAGCAAACCCGACACACACACCTTCCTAATGGGCCTGATCTTGTTGGTTCTCGATGCCATGATTGCGACGTTTGTGCTCCGTTCCTAAACCGCAAGGGTCTTTGTGAAGGGTGAAGTGGAAGTCCTGCAGGTGTGACCCCTCCAAGAGCTATAGTCTCAAGCGACCGCAGCCGGTAACCACTTTGGGTATCGACAGTGTGTGCGTGAAGAAAAGGTCTGAATAGAAGACGTGTAATAGCTAAGGGGCTGTGGTGACTGTGGCCAATGAGTCGTTATTGATGGAGAGTCACAAAGGAAGTTGTCAGGTCGAGCTGGGCCAGGGCGCGCGGGACGAGCTCTCAAAGGGTTGGAATGGGTTCTGCGATTCGCAGCAGATGTACACGATCCCCAGACCGAAGAAAGAAAACGTTTGGTGGTCCGTGAATCGTAAAGTATATGCAAACTTGGGGCTTAAAAAAACCACCAAACGGAGAAGTCAAGAGAAAGTGAAAACCCGAGGCATGATAATTGCCAGAAGTGGCAAACGTGAGAGACGTGGTCGAGGATGAAGTTTAGTAATGGAAGGGTACCTAGACGGTATTTGACAAACGGGAAGTTCAGGCACGCGGTAGATAAGTGTGGATCTCCAGGTACTAAGTACTTCCAACGGAGCTTAAGAGATCAAAGCAGTATAGTACGTAGTGTGTTGCAAGTATTATTACACGTTACGTACCAGCTCGAACGCCGGGCGCCCAGTGTTGTTTACAGACTCAACAGAAACTCCGTTAATCTGGGTGAGTGTCGTGGGCTGCTCAAGATGAACACCAGATAGAGAATACTTGGCCTTGCCACTTTACAATTCATCATCGACAGCATCGCCGGAAAGATGCGAACTGTTACAGGTGGAGAGGCGCACTACAAGTACATGTAGAGGCAGGAAGTGGAACGGATATTCCACAGGGATCGTTATCGATAAGAAACTTTGCGACAGGGAACCTAGGCGGGCGGGCGGGTCGCGATGCTGGACTTCTACGGCGCAATGACGAAACGACCGGATTTCTATCCGAATCTATCGCATTATATCTTTTTTCTTGCTCACAATATCATAATTTTCGGCCGCGATTCAACCAATTCCCAAACGGGATCCCATACCGGCCCAACATTCCCATCTATACCTCCAGCCATGGCCTCCAAACGAGCAGCGGCATCAACACTGTCCTGCATTGCCCGACTCGGCTCGGCGCCGGCGCAATCGTTGAAAACCACAACCACAACGTCGCGCTTCCTCAACTACTTCGTTCACTCCTACAGCTCTCAGTGCCAGCGGCCAGTACCACTGTCACAGCAACAGCAAACACAACAACGAGGAAATATCAACTGCACACCAATCCGACAAAAACACACCATCCCTCGTCCTCGAAGCCAGCCCTCATCCTCCCCCGAACCTCAATCCCCTCCCTCCGACCAACAACAACCCGCACAACCCAAGCGTGACACGTCCCAAGTCCCCCAGTACGAGCTCACTTTCACCTGCATCCCCTGCGATCACCGATCCAAGCACAAGGTCTCCAAACAGGGTTACCACCACGGGTCCGTGTTGATTTCGTGCCCGAACTGCCGTAACCGACACGTCATCAGCGACCATCTCAAGCTCTTCGGAGACCGGAAAGTGACGGTCGAGGATTTATTGAAAGAAAAAGGGATGATGGTCAAGAGGGGGACTCTGGGCGAGGATGGGGATGTGGAGTTTTGGGAGGATGGGACAAGTACCATAAGGGAGCCAGAGCCGGAGCCGGCGCAGGAGAGGCCGAAGAAGGAGGTGGATAATAGTCCGCCGGGGTCAACTTTCAAGAATGTAAGGCCTAGAGAGGGGAAGAAGGCTGGGGACGAGAGCAATTGAATGTTGGATGGATAAAAGGGGGAGTGGCCATCACTGGAAATGCCTTGGCTGGAGAAAGAAGGGGCTGTGATGAGCGGGTGTGGCTCTTTGGGTGTTCTGGCTTTTGGAAATCGCTGACGGATTTTCCAAGTCCAGCAAGGGCAATAAGGGTAGAGAAAAGAGTTAAGGCAACGGATATCATATGGACAGGCATTGCAGGCCAGTCTGTTGACGTTGGCATACCCGATGTCGAGAGTCATACTAATTGTATCATATGTGTAGAAGTATAAAACTGGGAAATTTTCGGCAAAGCCCTCGCGCTAGGTAGCGGCTGGGAACATGATCTGGATGGCACGGGCGGCTTATGGACATCAGACACCATGATATTGTTGTTCTCTCAGTTCTTACCCCACGATACAAAGGAACCGTGGACACTCTCCCGTATTTCAGGTACTGCAACGAATCCCGATAGCAAATAAGCCTCTAAGTCTCAAGGGCGAAGGATGGCTCACAAACTATTCACCTGATGTCTGACTCTTGGCGTTTAGGAATGAAGTTATCAACACTCCATCTATTATATCATTGGACCTGGACAGCCATGCGTCAAACCAGCTATTGACACCTTTCATAAGATCACCAAGCGATGATCAGTATATTCTCAGACCATACGGGCAGATAATATGTCACGGGAAGCAAGTGAGCATGAAGAAAGCATATCAAGGGAATTATCCGAGGCTGCCTTCATTCGGCAAGCAGCCTCATCCTTGAATTCAGTGTCCGGGTGAGCGGGAGAGATTCAGAACTAGCTAAGTACAGGCACGCTCCAATAACCCCATTCCCATCCCACTTGAAGAATAATTGATAAAAACAGGATTGTACAAGTATTCACCTATCCAATCCCTTTGTGTTGAGTGTGAACCCAAAAAGCTTCTGTGTGTGTGTGTATATAGATGTGTTGTACTTTTTTTTTCCAGAAAGAAGTGAAGTGTGTAAAGAGGGAGCAAAAGTGATATATCCAAGCCTTTTCTCTGCCCCCTTCTTGTTTGCTTTGTCGTACCCTCTCCTAGGGAAGAAGATTTTGGGGAAACATCTACCGAAGTGATGCATGTTAGCATGTGGGCTGATCGGGGTACTTTTAGAAGGGAGCTGTGACTGACCTAGTTCTCATCAGAGTGAGCAGTGAGGATGGCACGAGCCACGTTGTACATGGCGTGCAAGTCACGGGTAGCCTTGGTGCAGGCGCCGTCGGGAGCGTTGCAAGCGGCCTCAGGGGAGGCATCACGCTTCCAGCAGCCCCTATCGGGGTGGAGCCTCATGTTGCACCACTGGGGATCGCGCTTGCCGACGCGGTCGACGGGGCTGAAGGTGGTGTCACGGAGAAGGAGGGCGGACTCGGCCTCGGCGGACTGGATGGCGGTCATGACGGCCTCGGCGGCGCGCTTGGCCTTCCAGCAGGACTGGCCGTGGATGCGGCACCATTGTGGGTTGGCCTCAGCCTCGGGGGCAGCCTCGGGAGCGGCGTCACGCTTCTTCCAGCAGGACTGGCCGTGGATCCGGCACCACTGGGGCTCGGCCTCGGGGAGGGCGTCACGCTTCCAGCACGACTGGCCGTGGATCCGGCACCACTGGGCTTCGGCCTCACGCTTCTTCCAGCACGATTGGCCGTGGATGCGGCACCATTGTGCCTCGGCCTCGGCCTCACGCTTGGCGACTTTCTCGGTCTTCTTCTCCTCCTCGGTGGAGGGAGCGAACTTCTCTTGGAGGCTGAGCGAGTCGTAGTAGGCGTTAACGTCCTCCTGAGTGAGGGCGATGATGCCGGCAAGCTCGTCAACCTGGCGCTTGGCGACCTGGGCGGGCTGGTGGCCGGACTCGTCGCGGGGCGGGAGACCACCCATGCCCTGGATGGCGTTGGCGAAGGCATCGGCAACACGCTTGACCTTCCAGCAGGACTGGCCATGGATCCGGCACCACTGGGCTTCGGCCTCAGCGTTTGGCTGGGCGACCGGGGTGGCGGAGGCCACGGCGGCGAAGATGACAAGAGGGAGAGTGAACTTCATCTTGAACAAAACGGCTTGGATGAAGAATGTAAAAAGTGTCAACGAAAGGACCCTGTTGATTGAGAGAATGAAGACCTCTGAGGGTTGATTGGCAATGTCAAAGGTGATGGAGAAAAAAAGAAGTGTGTTCTGAGGAGGTCAACACCATCTCTTATATACTAAATATCACGGCTGCTTAAGTCGTCTGCGCAGGCATGTTTATTCAAACGAGATCTCTATAGAACCGGAGGTTAACCTGGTCAGCGACAAGGATCGTCCAAGGAGGCGGTGGCCGCGAGGGAGGGAGCTCGTTCAAAGAAGACAACAGGCCGGTCCAGAACTAGGCAAAGGTGGTGAAAGGATCATCAGTGATGGTGTGGTTATTGAGGTCAAGGGTTTGCTTTGGTGGAGGTTGACGGAGGGGATTCGTCAATGGCTTATTCAGATCTCTATTCAGAGGAAGGCTTCATTGAGCCCAACGATGGAGCCACCTTCTCCCAGAGCATGGGATGAATTGCCACGACTAAGAATTCGAAGGGATGAAAGTTCGGTCCCGAGGTGTCGGAAACCTTGAAGAGCTTCAAGGCGATCGAGGTTCGGACGAAGACGTTCAGGTCAGACTCGGTGCTCCGCCCAATGATGGCCTGACGGAACTAGCCGAGTAGTTGAAGATGCTTCATGCAGCCGGGGATACGGGACTCGGGGAGAAGCCAAACGTCTAAAGCAGGTTAGTTGTACGGGAGACAAAGCAAGGGCGAGGTGAAGATGAGGATGTAAGAGGCGTTTGGCGTTGATGCCACGTGAGAAATAGCGTCCTTCCAGAATAAGGCAGGGAACGTGAAGGAGAGGCATGGTGATTGTTTGGTGCATGCGGTGTGGTTGACTAGCGGCAAATTTAGGGGTCCGCAACAAAGTGTTTATTGAAGTTCTATTCAAACCCATTTTGGGAAAGCGTGGTTGATTGCTCAAAGGACTCATTGCGCCTGGCCCCAGGCTTGGGCGAGCTGAACCTCTGGCGCCAGCTTTTCTTTGGAGTGGGATCCAATACCTCGAGGAAACAACAGAGGAACATCAAGAAACTATTGTTTCAGCCAGAGAAATGAGTCGTATCGGAGTGTCCTCGTGGTTCATGCAGGAGACGCCGGTGTGATGTTGGACGAAGGTGGCACAACAAAGGACAAAAAAACAACAGAAGCGCCAGTGTCCAGCGCCTAAACGGTTTTCTTCTTGTTGATCGTGGCATCTGATCGTCTAATATCAGTAATGCGCTGATTTCTCCCTCTTTTTTGCATGTTCCCCAGATCAACACTTTTTTCATCCAGAGCCAGAAGCACTGTTTGCGGAGAGCCTGGTAAACCTGGCTTGCCTGGCCATCAGAAGTAGCTGACATAAGTAAGCAACTCTTTTTTCATGCGAAATGCATGGCTTCTTCGATCTTATCAGAAGCTTTCCCCTCATGTTCAAGTCCATCCGCTCACTCTCGTAGATGTGAATTACTGTTCAGTTCAACTTGGGGGTTTCCCATGAGCAACGGGTGCTTGTTCAGTAGTCAATCTACCCAGGACATTCGCAGTGGGTTATGTTTCAGTTGAACATGTTTCGTTCGCAATTGCAGCGAAGTATAGCAAATGCTCCGCTGGCGAAGTCTTCGGTGTTGATACTGCGAGTTGTGATGGGTTGCAGTCCTGTCGATGGTGGTGTTGCGGAAGTGAAATATTGGGCCAGCAGCCCAGATCGATAATGTAATTCATAGGACAGGAGTATTTGCAGATCATTAGTATGAGATGCGGTTGGTCGGGTTCTGCACGTCGGTATGGCAGCTCACCAAGCATACCTATGGTATTCGGTTTTACCGGTACACTATTGCCATCAGGTCTCGAGAGGACTTCGGGCAGCTCCGAGGCGCCATGCAAAGTTTCCAATGTGAAAGTGTCGTGAAATTCCTGTACACTGTACAGGTGGATCCAGAGCACTCATGTACTAACAATTTGTACAGCAAACCAACACCAGGTCAGTTATCAGTCTTCAAAAGCTGCGAGGAGCGCTCCGTGTCTAGCGACGCTGAATATACTGCCCGGCCTGATAGGGCTGGCTGGCTCAGTGGACCCTGAACTACACAGTACGTACACTAAAATCTGCAACATCGAAGCGGGCTGCAGACAGTGCGTCATCCCAAGCGGCCCGGGACCCCAAAGCTTTTCAACGGCATTTATAATGGACCAACGACCGGATTCCGGCCTTTCACTTCACTCGGGTTTTTCAACGCGCCCGCGATGACCATTCGGGTTCGCCCGCAACCGCTGGCCTCGCCTGATCGGCTCAAAATATCAGCAAAGATGCCCGGCACCACAGCGTCAGAACCCCCTTGACGAACACTCGGTAGCACACCCGGCATTGTCTTGACGGTTTGAACGTGTCAGGCGCCGATCCGAACGGGACCCAACGACCGAGCTCTCCGGCCATATGCCTCACGTACCAATCGTACTATGCAAAGCCGACATGATATCAGGTTGATTTGTCGTGCCAACAGCGATGGGGAGATGAGGTAAAATACACCCTGCTCAACTCTCAGGGTTGCAGCTTGTTAAATTCTATTCGTCGAAAGTCCCACCGCGAGGTCATCCCGGCATCAGAGAAAATCTTGTCAGACTTACCTCCGAGCTTGTTTTGTCCGAAGATGGGACCCCGGCGTTCAGGACCCTGTCCTTCTCTCACAACGGCATTTGGTGACATATTGACCGACGGATCAAACAGCCCCGATATCGCCCATCTTTTTATTTGGAGCGGTTGAGGAGGGGACTTTAATTGAAAAAGTCGCCCAGAAAAGACGCACTTATCAACGAACATCCGGCGCTAAATTTCCCACGAGACGAGCCAAAGGTACACATTTCGGCCGCTTACAAAGTTTGAACCGAGGTCCCGCGCTTTTTTGGACATGGCAGATTACCAACACCAGTCCATGATGGCTATGATGGGGATATGATGCCTATGAGACCGGAACACAGGGAAATGAACCCTCCTCTCTCCCTCCGTTCCTGCCCGTTGCCCCATAGTCGTCGATCAAGGCGGCATCTGCGGTAATACGCAAACAACCTGATGTCGTTGGTAGTATTCCCATCAACTTTGTCACTGTCATCTGTACAAGACGGACAGCATCCATTACTGCAACGGCTGCAACAGCAAACCGGAAGGTGGGATGACTGATGCATGCGTCTTACCCAACAGTGGAGATGACTAATTCACCGAACGGTTATCCCCAAGCACAGTTCTTCCTGCTTCTTTTGAAACCCCGAACTTTTCATGATGACGGCTTCAAGGTCCCCTTTAAGCGCCCAGATATTATACACTACCGTTTCAAAGTTAGTCGCGACGCGGCGAACTCATCCTCAGGTGACGACTTTTTGGACCCGACTTCCGACCGAACTCATCCGGCGCTCCCGGACCTCCCGGACCTTTCGGGATCCAGTCTGTTGACAGTATGCTCCGATCATTGTCCAGTCCCAATCCTTGCATGTTAAAGTTTTTCTTTTCTTTTCCACATTTTGAGCTCCGCTCTTCCCGTGCAAGTGATAGTGCCATAGATCGATGGTACCTGGAATTCCCGTTCATCTCCATGCACGGCTTGATATCATAATCGATATTTACCTGTCTATCCACTAATTTTGCGTTCACTCCTCCAGTTCATTCTCCTCTCACTCAACTTTTACCTAGCCAACCAAATATTTCACAATAAAGCAGCTCTGCGGCCCGTTGTGCTGTGCTTATTTCCGGCTTCTACATCAGTTGTCGTCCTCTCATCCATCTTTCACTCGCGAAGGGCTCTACCACCCCCCCATCCACAAAACTTAAACCTCTCCGCCCACATCTCCGCATCTGGGGCTCAAGCACTGCCTCCCCCGCGCCCCAGAAATCTGCACATTCTTCACCATGTCCGTTCCACTTCAGAACCGGGTATCGGATAGCTCCGACGGCATCGACAGGATAGCCGAAGAGAAGCAAAAGCTCTCCGTGAATGCGCCACCATCCACACGGAAGCAAGATGCGCTGGGGCTTGACGACGCCGACCGGCAATCCACCACAAACCGCTTCAAGACCTTCCGGTCAGCCTTCAAGTACATTCACCACCTAACACCAAAGCAGGTCGATGACTACATGCACTCGTATGTCATCTACAACCTTGACTGGGCCGACGAAGATGCCATGATCAAGGAACTTGGTCCTGACTACCAGGCCAAGGTCGGCGAGTGCTTGAAGGCTTACTACGGAATTATTAACCACCTCTGCGCCATGGGCGATGTCGAGAAGATGTACATTCCTCCCCACATGGACAAGCGGGCTTCCGTCATCGAGAATCAGCTGCTTTATGAGAAGGCCGTCGCACATGCCATTGGCATGAAGGCCGGCGACAAGGTTCTCGACTTGGGATGTGGCCGAGGGCGCGTGGCTGCTCATATGGCCAGCATGACCGGCGCTACAGTTACCGGTCTCAACATCGACCCTAACCAGGTCGCCCAGGCACAAGAGTTCAACAACCAGAAGGGATTCAAGAACAACTTTGTACAACAAGACATGAACACGCTACCACTACCCTTTGCCGACAACTCCTTTGACTGCTTCTACCAGATCCAAGCACTGTCATTGTGCAAGGATCTCCCAACGCTCTTCCGTGAAGTCTACCGCGTTCTCAAGCCGGGTGCCAAGGTCTCGCTCCTCGACTGGGTTAGCCTGCCAGGCTACGACCCCAGCAACCCGGAACACCTTGCGCTCATGAGGCGCGTGAAGCCCCTAATCGGCGCCGTTGGCACGCCAACGCCCAAGAGCTTCGAGAAGGCCCTCGAGGATGCTGGCTTCGTCGTCACAAAATCCGAGAACGCGAGCATCGACGGCTTGCAGGCACCTCTGATTGATCGGGTTGACATTTACTTCCGCACCATGCGCCAGATCATTCTGGGCTTGGTGAAGATCAAAGTCCTGCCCCAGCACTTCAAGACATTGATCAACAGGTTATGTCTGGATGGGCAGGCGTTTGTGAAGATGGATAGGATGCGTCTCATTTCGACAAGTTACTGGATTGTTGCGGAGAAGCCCCTCTAATCGCTTGAACGACAGATACCTGTGCACAAAAAAAAAGTAAGCATGGCGCATGGTGGTGATGGTTTCGTGCAAGGTTTCGGCTTCTGATACCGTTTGAACCTTTTGCGATAGATATCCCCCCTTTCGGTTCTTTTTCTAGAATAATCAATAATGTATGTGTGATGGAGGATGTTAGATGATAGATAAGGAATTGTCATCTCTTGTACGTTTGTTACTGCATTTTTCTTTTTGTGTTACTGCACCCTTGTCTTCAAACAATTAGATATCCATAGAACGAGGCATTTTGTATTGCAATACCAAAAATAACTACTTAAATAACCCGTCTGCATATGACAAGGTCATGTTCGTGACAATTTGTATAGATTTTGAACATCTATATGTCAGTTTCCGTATGTATTACACATGTCGTTGATGATCTTGGCGGCCAAGCTGAGCCCCTGATGAACTGTTCCGGTCCATGGTGCCGTAACAGGGCTGTCTTTCTGTGCTTTCAAGAAACAATCCCCGAAACAACTAGTAAGAGCACATCTGCTCGCAATCTTGAAACGGCTCGAAAAATAAAAAAAAATGAGCTGCAATGCGGGGAAAAGATGGAGGGAACAGATTTACAATGTTAAAGGAATGAAAAAAATAAGGTCGTACCCGGAATCGAACCGGGGTTGCCGGAACGTCCTGAAGAGAATCAGAATCCGGAGTGATAACCGCTACACTATACAACCGTGTGTACCACGTTTGCTATTGGTTGAATGAACGTCTGCAAGTCAAAACCTATATAGGCTGACTCAAGGTCTGGGATCACCAAGATGATAACATGAACACTGAACGTTCTCCACGCAACAGAGGCAGTTGTAAGCGTAAAACAAGTGTCGGAACTCCGGAAAGCCCAATCGATCGACTATAGAAGTTACTGTGGTGCATCTTGAAGAACTGTTCTACATCTCTTAGCATCTTCAACATGGGCAACGAGCAGTATGCCTGCAAACGAGGAAAGCCGTCATCATATGTCAATTTGCGGGCATTCTTCTGGAACAATCTTGAGGATCACTAGGTTGATGTGCTTGGAAAACATGCCGATTGTTTTGGGCTCATGAATATCTGTTCAGGGTTTGTTGACAATTGTTGATAACACCCACCTGGGGTAATGGAATCAGACACCACCAAGATAGGTAGGTATATAGAGCTTTACGACCCTACAAAGCGCTTCACAGGAATTTGACGCACCATCAAATGCTGAAGTACTGTTGAACCTTCTCGACTACCATCATGTCAGAGAAAGAGAAAATTCCCGTGGCGACGAGGAAGTAGTCTTCTTCTGTTTATCCAAGGCCTTGCCTGCTCCATTGTCAAAGTGTGGATGCAATCACCGCTTCCTCCTCCTTCTTCTTCTTCTTGCCCGTAAAAGCCTCTAAGACCCAGAAACCTCTCTTACCAGGAAGAAGAGAACTTTGAAAAGTGACAAATGAAGATTCGCATAGATTGTGCCCTGAGTCTCTGGGTGACGCGATGTGGTTATCCCGTGCGAGAAGACCTTTTCAGCAGTCTAGACCACTAGACATATCCTCACAGATCACGCCGTCGAACAACCATGAGCAACACGTTAGTCTCAGGGTTATAGAGGCTCTGACCGATATGAGCGTTCATCTATCGACGGCAGAAATCGATGCTGTAATAGGCCTGTTGATGCTGCGCACACAAACCTCAAGCCCTTGCCAGTTTTCATCACCAGTCCAGGCCGCCGACTATAGGGAACGAACAGCTTCGGGAGCTGAGAAACATCGGGTTATTACTACCACAAAAGAGCTTCCGTGCACAAGACAGATAGTCGGTATCCATAGAAGAGTTGTGGTGCTTCCAACTTCGCAAGTCCCTTATAAGAGGTCTTCATATCAGACGCTGTCCTGCTCCCGTGAGGACCCTGCTGCTGATCAAATCAACACTACCCACCACCATCATGCGGGGAATACCTGCGTCTTGTCGCCTCCTCCAACTCTATCTCGGTCGTGCCACAACATTACTCCTCAAGCAGATAGTTCCAACGTTGACGATCTCTATTCACAGCGGCCAGCGGTCAAGAAGAGGAAGTGCATCTCGAATGGTTCTCAACCACAACACTTCGAAACTGAAGAAATACCCTCCTCCTCTCACACTGGCAACACCCTTCAAAAGACGCAGCATACAGCACGCACATCACTCCTACCCCAGCCAGCCGTTACCAACCCAGAAGCACCAACATCACAAAGCAAGCCAACACTCATTCTTACAACCCCTAGCCCTCTGAGCCCTCGGCATCAAGATCAATCACAAACAAAATCACAATCACCTCCTCCAGGTTCACGGTCTCACTTCATACAACCCCACCAATCTCTACCCCAATACCACTTTAGAGTCGCAACTCCAACAACTCCAACCCAAAAAGCAACAACAAACTTCCCCAAGAAACGAAAGAAATACGGCACAGCCTACGAAGTCTCCCGCGCCCGCCAAATCCAAGCGACGGGCGTTCCCGGACCGTGTCACTCGTGCGCTCGTAGACAGAGACAGCTGGATGAGGTAGCTGCTGCTGCTGGGAATGTCGGAGGGGGCCTGATTGGTACAGGTACGCGTAATGGTATAGGACGTTTCGCGAGGCCTCAGAGGGGTGATGAGTTCTTGCCTTGTACGGTTTTGAGCAACGGTAGCGGTCACGCCGATGGTGGCGGGACGGGTAATGGTGGTGGTATTCAGAGAAGAAATGGAAATGGTGGTAATCGTGGGACTGGGACTGGGCCGACACCCTGCGCGAGGTGTAAGAGTATCAAGATGAAGTGTGAGGGTTAACACTTGGTGTACGTCGTGGTGTGGGTTAGTTAGGTGTGACCTTGTTGGTACAAATCGAAGGGATCCATGGAAACAGATAGCTGAAGTGGAATGAGGAGATTTGAAAGCACTAGGTTGTCTTGAGAGACTGTAAAAGCGTTCCATTCCACGAGTTTGTGATGTCGACCTTCCCTTTGATAGCTCGAGGATCATCTCATACCCGCAGCTACTTATGATTGGTTTTAGCTTTGATCGCATGTAGATTCAACACGACGCCTCTCCGTCGCCAGTTGAGCTTACATAGACTGTGATACCCCTATCAATACGTGATGTGGGATTCGAATACCCAAGCCCTTCCGCTAAGCCAAGTGCTACTCCTGAGACAAAGCAACGTTCATTAGACTTACAACATTAAAGCGTCAGAGGAAGGGTAAGTACGGTACATACAGTAAACGCTCAATTAGAAGAAAACCTCACTGATTTGTGATGTCCATGGCAGGCGCAGCATGAAGCACATGGGTACCATCGACACTTGTCCGCGGCCGTTCTTGTGGAGCTAACCAAAGGAACCATGACCACCAGTTTCATCCCTTAGTGCAAACGATACCACTCAAACGTAGAGCAACAGATAGGGCCGGACTTCAACGTGGTACTTGTGAAAGTGATTCCTTGGTTCTTTCATAAGCACAAACAACAAACAAGCATAGCGCTCAGTAGTTATACCATAGGTATCATGACAACTCTTTCCCAGGTAGGAAGAAGACCTCAGCCCCAAGCAAACATAACAAACACACCCTCCTGGTCTTTCCGGTGTTACCTCACATCAACAAACGCCAGGCACCGAGCAACAACGCAGCAAAACCAGTGCACACGCCCATAAGCCACTGCAGCGTCTGGAACTTGACTTGTTCCAACTGCTGCCTCAGCGCTGCCACTTCCTGCTCGATTTTGGTCTCCGTCTCCTTGATCTTGAGCTCCTGCGACACGGCCTCCTCGCGGATGCGGCCCTTCTCCAGATTCAGGTCGAGCCGGACGCTAGCCTGGGTACGACCGATCTCGTCGCGTAGCCGGCTGTTGAGCTTGGCAATATCATTGGTCAGCCGTTCGTGGGCGGCCCGGGTGGTGTTCGACTCGGTGCTGTCGGCCGAGAGTAGCTCGCTGCGCAGCTTGGCGAAGTCGACTTTTTGCGTGTAAGTCGCTTTGGCGGCGTCTTCGCGGAGGACCATGGTTCGGGTGAGGTTTTGTATGCTGCTTAGTGAAAAGAGGAGTGGTTAGTGTACAGAGCGGGACAATAAGGGGTGTCGAAGAAGAAAAGGGGGTGGCTGATGAATAATGTGAGCTTCACCTTTCTTCGATCACGTCGTTCAGGACTTTCATCATGGCCACTGATTGCTCTTCTGTGAACCCATCTTCTTGTAGGCGCTGGACAAACTTGAGTGTGTCGAAGTGGTGGTCGCGCCTTCGTGCCGCGGAAGCATGGAATGAGCGTCTTAGACTTGGGTTGCGGGCGATTATGTTAAGCGACCGCGGCTTGTTGCTCGGTGCGGTACATTGGGCATGATCAGTCGGCTGGCTCGAGTGAAAGGACCTTGAAGAGCAGAGGGGTTGCCATATTCGTGGTTGCTGATCGTGGGCTTGCAGGAGAATGGACGGAACAGTTCTGGCTACGTTTGGCGAGAGATGACCCTGCCAGCTCAGCCGTGGGAGTAGGAATCGTGGGAGGGATTGCGCAGTGTTCATTGTCTTTGGTGGTTTGTCTTGGGTTCGTTTTGCGTGTACTTTGATAACAGGTAGGGAGCGGTTCGGTCTGGTGGATGTTCTGCAGGAACGAGGGTAACTGTGTTGTCGAAACTGGGATACAAGAAGTGTTGGAGCTTTTCGGAGATTGAAGGTATGATGTCGTTGCAGAACGCAAGTCACCACGTCAGTCACACATTCAGATGATCGGGATCTTGCCCGGCATTCGGAAGGGGCAGTGACATTGACGAGGATCCATGCGTCCAATCTCCATAGCCGGCCCCACCTGTGCCGGCTTTGGCCGCGTTCTTGGCATTCTGGCTGAAAGGCGGATCCGCATTACGCCGGGCGCTCATTCTTGTGGCTGGTGCAGTACCTGACAGTGAGAATCGTCCCGCCAGAATTGGACCCCACCTCGACTTGCGCTGGTAAGCCACAGCCAACTGGTCTGCTGCGTGCACGTCCCCTGCCCGCCTGGCCGCCCATAAAAGTAGCCGAAAACTTTTTCGATTTTGGACTTTTTCTCCCTTTTTTCTCCAATTTTTACAACGCATTATATCACATTCTCGGAATGCAACTTGGATGCGAGGTCCCCGGATTCGTTCGGAGCTGACCCAGGACCAATTCATCAATTTCGAACAGAATGGAGAACAGACATCAGCGAACAATCTTGGGTGCGGTGCTTTCCTTGCCCTTCGTGGCTCCATGGAAAGGGTCGCAATGATTGGGCGTACATACCTACACCGATGTGCTTTGTGATTTGATATGAATTTTTACATTTGTGAACGAGTGTTCCGTGTCATACGTACCAAGTAGCGGCGTACTGCAAGCTCGTAGACAATCGAAGAGACTGAATGTCTACCCGCGTGTACACGTGATGTTACGGAGCATTCGGGTTGAAGACGGTTGCGATAAGTCCTCGGAAGGGGTTTTGTGCCTATTATCGGGATCCCACATCAGATCCATTCCGTTCATGAAAGGAATTCAAAGTGGCACAACTTCTGGTTGTTGACCTGCTTGATGTTGAGGCTTGGAAAACGTCGTTCTGATCCAGGCAATGTTGCTCGACTAAGACAGTCTTCATTGATACTTCCAGTATGAACTCAGTATCGACGCTTTGAAACTTTTTCCTCTTCTCTCTTCCTACGTAGGGGTTCTGAAACGAAGTATCAACGGGAATGAAATGTACCTTTGGGACTTGCAACGGTCAAAGTGCACTTGGTGATGACCGAACCTGGCTGAGGACAACAGCCTGACCTGCGAAACAGGATGACAGGTGGGAGAGACTGGAGGCTGGCCGACCCAGAAGGCCAGTGCATTCCTACATCAGCGCACTTGAATGTTCACTGCTTCACGCTTCCCTGTTATACACATTGTAATGCCGCAATCGTTCCATTTCGTTAGAGGTATCAATACTTCTAACCTCGACGATCCATTGGGCAGGCTTTACTGCTATGGTAGCCACCAAATTGTCTGAACAAACTAGCATGTCATGATGCCAGTCGTGGTGCTGATTCAAATGGCATGTTCACGGGAGTATGATGAACAATAAAGTATATCACCCTTCTAGTTCCACCTGGGTCAATGGATTACTATCGATATCGGTTGCTACTCTCGACGCTTAGATCTGATTAAGAAAACCCTATCGCTCGCACGATCCGTCATTTCTCTTTTCTCTCTTCACCATTTTCCCACCGGTCTGGTCAGTGTAATCCAGATCTTAGCGTCGAGAGTAGCAACCGATATCGATAGTAATCCATTGACCCAGGTGGAACAGTTGGGTGATATACTTTATTGTTCATCATACTCCGCAGGCAATTATTCGCATTTCCAAGGCAAAAACCAGTCAAAGTCATGTTACTTCAAACTCAAAATGTTTGCAATCACGGTTTGCGAGCTATACGGTTTGAGGAGGACGCCTAAGAGTTTACCATGTAATGAAATGAAATCACTATTTTGCTTCATGCATACATGAGGTATCGAGTGCTACAAGCTCCACTCTCTGCACGCTGCTTGGGCTTTTGAAGGGCCCGGCCCGGCGTCCCTCGATGTGCCCAAATTGTGTTTGGAGGGATTGATGTTCATGTCATCCATTCCTCCATCCAGCTCTTCATATCAAAATCCATGTGCCATATAATCATTCCCAAGTAACAAAAACCCGGCCGGACTCCGAACAACGACGCGCCGTTTCTCTTTCTTTTTGAAAATGTTCGTCTCGTCGTGGAAGCATAAACACAATTTGGTCGGTAGCTCTGTTGCGTGACACTCGAACTGCCTCTATTTCCTCGAGTCTTTAACGATGGAATGACAGCCTGTTATTCGATTATCTAGTTGCTTATTTGTCGCCGGGCTTGGCGATGCGGCAGACGAGGTCAGAGCCATCGACGGAGTCACCCTCGCGGACGGCAAGGGAGGAGACAACACCGTTGTGAGGAGCGGAGATGACCATTTCCTATAGGATACGAGTTAGTATTGAGTCATCTGCGTACAGGGGTGTAGTGGACAACGTACCATCTTCATCGCGCTGAGAACGGCGATGGGATCGCCCTTCTTGACCTCGGTACCGTCGTGGACGCGGAGCTCAACGAGAACACCGGCCATGGGGGCGCCGACCTGGCTGGAGTCGGTAGGATCGGCCTTGGGCCTGCTCACATTCTCGACCGACGCCTTCTTGTCGTCGACGGTAACCTGGCGGACCTCACCGTTCATCTCGTAGAACACCTCACGCTGGCCGGTGTTCTCAGAGAGAGGACCGACAGCGAGGAGCTTGAGAATGAGGACCTTGCCCTTCTCAAGCTCGACGTGGAATTCCTCGCCGATCTCGGGCCTGGACAGGAAGTACTTGGTGGGAAGGACGGAGAGATCACCGAACTTGGCCACGAATTTCTTGTAGTCCTCAAAGACCTTGGGGTACATGACGTAGCTGGCAACATCGCACTCGGTGACGCTGCCGAACTTACGAGCGAGCTCCTTACGGACCTTGGGGAAGTCGATGGGCTCGAGGAAGAGACCAGGGCGAGCGTCGAGCTTGCGACGGCCACGGAGTGCCTTGGTACGGAAAGGCTCAGGGAAACCGCCGTAGGGCTGACCCATCATACCCTCGAGGAACTCGAGGACGGAGCCGGGGAAGTCGAGCTCGCCAGCGCGGGCCAAGACATCATCCTTGGACAGCTTGTTGGAAACCATGAACTGAGCCAAGTCACCAACGACCTTGGAGGTAGGAGTGACCTTGACAATGTCACCGAGGAGGTCGTTGGCCTCCTCGTAGGCCTTCTTAGTCTCAAGCCACTGAGAGCCGAGGCCAAGCTGAGAGGCCTGGAACATCATGTTGGTGAGCTGACCGCCAGGAATCTCGTGCTCGTAAACCTCGGGGTCAGGGCCAGTGAGATGAGCCTCGAAGGGCGAGTAGAGGAGACGGAGCTGAGACCAGTAGGTGTCAAGAGCACGGACATGGTGGACGTCGAGACCAGTGTCCTTGTCAGTGCCATCAAGCGAAGCAATGATGGCGTTGATGCTGGGCTGAGAGGTCATGCCAGACAAGCTGTCAGTGGCAGCATCAACAGCATCAGCACCAGCCATGGCACAAGCAACCATGGAGGCGACACCAGTACCTGCGGAGTCGTGAGTGTGGACGTGGATGGGGAGGTCGGGGTACTTCTTGCGGATGCTGCCAATGAGGAGGGTAGCAGCGTGGGGCTTAAGAACACCAGCCATATCCTTGATACCAAGGACATCAATGTCAAGAGCGACAAGCTCGTCAACGAGCTTGAGGTAGTACTCAAGGTTGTACTTCTTTTTGGGGTTAAGCATGTCACCGCTGTAGCAAACGGTACCCTCGCACACACCGCCTGCCTTCTGGACAGCCTTGATACCAACCTCGAGCTGGTGGATGTCGTTAAGGGCATCGAAGACACGGAAGATATCGACACCGTTCTTCTTGGCATGCTCGACGAAGTGCTCAATGGCGTTGTCGGGCAGGGAAGCGTAGGCAACACCGTTGGCGCCACGGAGGAGCATCTGGAAGGGAATGTTGGGCACAAGCTTGCGCATCTTGCGGAGTCTGTCCCAAGGATCCTCGTAGAGGAAACGCATGGCGACATCGAAGGTGGCACCACCCCAGCACTCCAAGGAGTAGAGGTTGTGGAGAGCATGGCTGGTCTCTTTGGCGATGTTCAACAGATCGACCGTACGCACACGGGTGGCAAGGAGAGACTGGTGGGCATCACGCCAGGTGGTGTCCATGAGAAGGCAGCCCTTGTAGTCGCGGACAGCCTTGGCGAAGGCCTTGGGGCCCTGCTCGAGGATGATCTGGCGCCAGCCCTTGGTGCAAGGCTGACTGACATCGATCTTGTTGCCAGAAGCATCATGGAGCTCGGGGATGATGATATCACCCTTAAACTTGGGTTCACCGATCTGACCCTTGATGCTGCTGCCGTTGACGGCGACATCGCCCAGATAAGCAAGGAGCTTCTGAGCACGGTTCTGGCTTCCAACTAGGTCGAAGAGCGACGGCGTATCATCAATGAAGGTAGTCCAGCAGTTGCCCTCGATGAAAGTCGGGTGTGTGAGGAGAGAAGCCAAAAATGGAATGTTGGTCTTGACGCCGCGAATACGGAATTCGATCAGGGCACGCAAGACCTTGCGTCGGGAAATCTCAAAGGTGCTGAAAAAAAAGGAATTTAATGATTAGTACAAGTCTTGACACAGAAATAGTGGCCCAGTCTTAACACGAAGACAGTGGCCATGAAGGTTGGGATCGGCCATGAACTGCGTATTAACTTACCTGCCACGGCAGCTCACTTTCACTAACATAGAGTCATAGACTGTTCCAAAAGTTAGTGGATCGACCAAGAGGTTGATCAAGAGAAGAGGTAAGAAGACCGAGAGGAGACCCGGTCATGAGCAGAATCAAAGGCCACGCAGCCTCCAAAAGAAGAAAGCGCAGATAGATACTGCCGATATGTAGAGATGGAGTGACTTACAAGCTGTTCAAGAAGTTAGCGAGAGTTCAGAACATGATAGGTGTGTGGTGATGATTCGAGTTGACGACGGCGAGGGTGAAGATATGTTTATGTGTTGAGGCTCTACATGACGCACGGTCCAGCCCCCTGACAATTTGTGGGTCTTCTGGGTCGGCCCCACACTAGTGAGTCCAAACACCTGCCATTTGTTTACCGCGAAACAAATGCTTCAATGTGAAGGAACAGGCCGCCGGAAATTGAGGTGTTCTTCTCAAATTTGCATGCAGTTTCTTGATGCAAAAAAGCCTCGAGCTGATGTCAAAAGGCCTGCAGAGAGCAGTTGATGCCATTCCTCAGATATCGCGATGCATCTGATTGGTGCAAATATGCGTCGAGAGATACCAGGAATGCTTCATAGAGGGCAGAAACTCATCAAGTGATGCATTTGGGTTCTTGGGGTCCTTGGGAAAGGTGTTTGGGGCATGAATGGGGAAAGGGGAAATCACTTACGAGTAATGACGGCACCAGCAAAGCCGTTACCGCCGTCGAGACGGACACCGTTACCACCAGCGCTGCGGTAGACTTCAATCTTGCCAGTATCGGGCTGGAAGTTCTTGGCGGGATCCTCAGTGGTGATACGGCACTGGATGGCGAAACCACGGGTAGTGATGCGGTCCTGGGTGAGACCAAGCTGCTCAAGAGTAGCACCAGCGGCGATCTGGATCTGGGCGGCGACAATGTCGATCCCGGTGATCTCCTCAGTAATGGTGTGCTCGACCTGGATACGGGGGTTGATCTCAATGAAGTAGTAGCGGTTCTGCTGGTCGACAAGGAACTCAGCGGTACCGGCATTGCGGTAGTTGACCGACTTGGCGAGCTTGACGGCATCGGCCAAGATAGCATCGCGAGTCTCGGTGGGAAGGTCCTTAGCGGGGGCAATCTCGACGACCTTCTGGTGGCGACGCTGGACGGAGCAGTCACGCTCGTACAGGTGGACAATGTTGCCGTGGTTGTCACCAAGAAGCTGGACCTCGATGTGCTTGGGCTTGTCGAGGAAGCGCTCGACGAAAACGGTGCCGTTGCCAAAGGCACTCTTGGCCTCGGAGGTGGCGCGCTCGAAGGACTCCCTCAGGGAAGCCTCCTCGCGGACGACACGCATACCACGACCACCTCCGCCATAGGCAGCCTTGATGATGATAGGGAAGCCGTACTTGTCGGTAAAGTCCTTGACGGCCTCGAAGGTGTCGACAGCACCCTCGGTACCAGGGACGACGGGGACACCGGCGGCAATGGCAAGCTTGCGAGCAGAGACCTTGTCACCAAGGGCGTCGATCACTTCGGGCGAAGGGCCGATAAACTAAAGAGAACAGGTTAGTGCTCATGCACTCCTCATTGGGCGAATCACATGAACCCCGCGCTCTAGCTGGGCGTGGTCTGGGCAACTCACGATAAGACCGGCCTTCTCAACCTTGCGAGCGAAATCAGCGTTCTCAGAGAGGAAACCATAACCTATGGGAGGATCAGTAAAAGCGACGTCAAGGCCTTCAGGTGAACGGTTCTATCCTACCGGGATGGATCATCTGGGCGCCATGGTCGACGGCAATCTTAACGATCTCGTCGGAGGCGAGATAAGCACCAACGGGGGTGTATTGTCCACGCTTGCCAATGACGTACGCCTCATCGGCCTCTGCGTTTCTAGCATCAGTAACTGCAACTGTGACTGTATCGCTCGCCAGCCAGGGCGCTGGCGTTGGCCTTGGCCCAGGCTAACTCGACGATGAGAGATTGGGGGAAGGTGAAATCGCGCATACTCTGTCTGTGCATGGAGAGGCGGTCCTCATAACTGATAAAAGTTAGACGGTGATCGAACGAAACGGATTTTGGTATATGGATTGGAAGAAGCGCTTACCTGAAGATGGCAATGGTGTGAAGAGACAACTCGTGAGCCTGCGCAGTTTTCAAGGTCAGCCATGTCCACCACGAAAACATGCACGGCAAGAATACTGGTAACTCACAGTTCTGAAGATCTGTATGGTGGTATCAAAAGTAAGTACGATGTTCATCTCATGTTGTAGTGGTCATGGCGGTTGGACATACACGAATGGCTGAATATCACTGTTAGCGCATCGCTCGGGGAAAACGTGATGGGGCAGGTCACTACTTACGAATTTCACCACGGTTGGCAACTGTTTCGCATGAAGAACCGACGTTAGTAACTTGCTCCATACAACCTCATCGACTTCTGCGCGCAGAGGTTCAGTTGATCGCGACACTCTTGCAAGCAGCCGGCAACCGCACACCAAGCACGTCCCGTCTCTACGGAATGCGAATGCGACTAACCCAGAATCTTGTTCAACTGCATAATAGTCGAGTTGGCCCGGATGCGGTGGACGGTCTGGGCCTCCTTGGAGACATCGCCCTCCTCGAACACCTCCGCATACTGGTCGGCAGGCTTGTCGGAGGCCATCTTGACTCAATTGACACAATGTCGTGGTTGTTGAAAAGAGAAAAGCTGGTGAGGTAGCGAGTTTGGAGGGGGAGCGGGCTACTTGAGTCTCAAAACAATGACGAGGGGTCTGTCCTGGTGGTGGGGTTATCGGGCAGGGTTACGGCGCGACGTGCTGCACCCAAACAGCGACGAGACAGACTAGGTTGGATTGGCTGTACCGAGCACATTGTACACCTTTACATGGATAACACGCTAGTTTCGTAAGTACAGCCAAGACAAACTTACAGAGCCCCGGTTAGATCTAGATGATGGATGGGTACCTTGCTGCTCAGACTACTATGCACTACACTAACCGGGGGGGCCACTCGAAAGCGAAGTCTACGTTTGGTGATATACACTACACAGAAGGGCAGAGGGCGGTCCAGGAACTACGGGAGGGACACACTGCTTGGCCGAACAGAAAAATAAAGCAAAGAGGGCAAAAATTGATGGAGGTAAGACTTCAGAAGAGGGAGAGGCCTGGACGAAGACGCGGCTTATGAGCGGATTTCTGTCTAGCGACATGGAAAAAGTGGCAGAAAGAGTCAGACTCGACCATCCATGAAGCTCGTCTACCGGAGCGGGACCTAAAAAAAAATGGACAAAACTCACGCCAAGGAGAAGAAGACGATTCTGGTCCTGACAGTAACCAGCTTGAACAAGGATCCCCGTTGTAAGTCAACCTGCCAGTCCCATCTTGCGATTCATCGTCGCTTTGTGGGGTCGTTACTTATCATGGCTTTGACGGATCGATGCCATGCATCGCTTCCACTTGCTAAGATCATCTGCGGTGGCCGGGGGCTATACGTAGTGTACTGCGTAGACAGGAGTTCTTGGTGGCGTACATGTACCTCTACCCCTCTCAAGTGAGACCTCCAGATCCTCAGCCCACCCGCTACTTTCTTGAGTCTGCCGCTTCCAAGCGTCTTGATCAAGAAAATTCCGCAAGCCAAGACCCCGTCTGGTGACTCAAGCTTATGACATAGAAAACTCACTTATCTCTTTTGCAATAGCGCTCTGCAACGGCATGTCATCACACACAAAAGGTCAAGATGGGATAGTTTGTACACCACTATGTACACCACAATATGCAAAGCTCTGAAACTGAGCCGCGAAGAGGCATGCATGCTGCAGTCACGCCCGCGGATGAGGAGCGTGAAACATCACCATTGACGAACAATAGAACCACCGTGACATTATTTGACATAACATACGTTTGGTAGCCAGGCTTGCCGCGCTTGACATCCATGATGTCAACCAAAGAGGGCCCGGCGCCGAAAGGGAGCCCCGCATTGGGAGAATGCCATTCATCGCACCTGTTGTCAAACTCCTCCTACTGGCTCATGTTGCCTCTTTGTGTAGCCAGACAACGATGAGTAGTCAGACAGGTTCATAGCGTGCTGGGAAGGCTCACCCTTCATCAATAAAAAGTACTTCGATGTGGGTGATGAAAAAGCCGGCGGCCCGGGGCCGGCCACCAAGGGAAGTGGGGGGCTCTTCGGGGCCCGTGCTGGTCCGGGGCCGGCAGCGGGGATGGATCGAAATGGATGGGTCATCCGGGGCTTGTCATTGGTCCGGGCGGTTCCAGATTCGGTATCGCGAAGACAGACGACACGGCTTCACAGCACGTGCATCGTCAGCGCGAACAACTGCCCCAAAACATGATTTCCTGGGTGTATCGGTACTTCGCGTCTTTCTAGCTGCTGCCTTGTACGCTACCTCTATGGATGGATCCACCACTTTAGCCATCCCCTCCTGCTTTACAGCCCCACTTTCGATTTGGAGACCCCATGTGGAGTTTGCATTGAGGTTTATTTTCACATCCGGCTTACAGTCTGCGTATCTCTGGAGGTGAGTTCTGAGGCTATTCGCACAGCAGGATCCTGCGGGTTGGTAACCAAGAACCTTGCGGGTGTACACTATCTCCTGCATGCCTACTGACACTGTGAGATCCGTGGGCACGTTTCCTTGCAACTTTGGTTTTAACAGTTGCAACCGGCGGTGCGACACCGGAGACTGGATGATCCAGGGCTCTGATATGGTTTGGTACCCATAACTATTATAACGACCGCCTTGCCCTGCATTTGTCTTTCTGGGTCTGTCATCACCTTTTTTTGAGTCATAACAACTGGCGACGGGACTTTTGGTTCGAAGTCTCGAACTCTGGGGCGTCTTCTTTTACCCTTGCAACAACCAGTTCCTCAGCTTTCGACAGAAGCGAGAAATCCGAGTCAAAGGCGAAACACACCATTGACCCAAAAGATCATCTGATAGATCTCGCAACCGATCTCCTCATGTTCTCGCATCAACAACCGAGGATAAGCACGGCATTTTTCGTTCTTACAGACGTTTCGGGTGTTGGCAATCTCTCCAGGGTTGCATTTGGGGGAAGGAAATCTTGCTATAGGCTAGACAGGCACGACAGGGTTGATGAGTGACGACCTAGCTATTTTCGTTTTCGACTCTTGAACTTTCATTGTCGTGGCGGGATGTCTCTTGACACCCCGGCCGATGGCAATACTGTACTGCAGACCATCAATACCAATGGCAAGCTTATGCCTTTGCTTCTCAGCACTATGTGACCATATCTTCATGTTTCGCGTTCATTTTCCGGTGTTCTGTAGTCGAAACTCTGATACTTAGACGTGTGCTCTGCCTAGATTGGCCCATCCTATCCTCTCCAACCGAGAGCCGTAACATATTGAGAGACATACCCCGGAAAATCATGGTACAATAGAGGTACACTAAGCCTTCACAACACAAATCCCCAACGTATCACCAGCAAACGAGCCTCATGTATCATATGCCGTTCTTAGACTCCTTGAGCTTCTTGCGTCACCGCTACTGTTCTATCTAACTAATCACATAATCTTGGTTTCAAGACCTTAGCCGTCACACAGCCGAAACTGTTCGTCCCGGGACAGTCTATCTCAAACACACCGACGACAATTCCAAGCCCACTTGTCTAAAGGGTTGTAGCCAAGCCGATCACTGAAACCAAGTGTCAAAACTGCATAGGGGGCTCCTCCTATCAGCCCTGCAGATCATACGCCTTTTCTTGTCTTGCCTTACCCTGTTTGTCTCTTTTACCTTGCCCATTGAACTTACACTAAACGAAACCAAATAAAAGATCAAATAAAAAAGAAGCCCCTAGGTTTTAACCAGCTGAGGAAGGTGGATTATGTTACATACCTACTACAGTGTACTCTATGTGGTAAAACCGACGAACCCGTTTTTGGCCCTTTTTTTCTCCGCGTGTCGAACGAAACGAACGGGGGGGAGGGAGGGCGGGAACGGGATGGCGCGGGGACTTCGGTTGTGCACATGTGGTCGGGCGGGGCCGGAGCGGGTTTCACCACTTCGCTTCTTCCTCGGTTACATACCGGGACGAGATCCGATCGTTTATAGGTAGACATGGGTTGATTTTCCTTATGTGGCTGTTAGCTTTCTGTACTTTATTTCGCACAGAAGGATTGAACCATGCCTAAAAAGGTATTTGTATTTCCTTTACAATGTCGAACCCGTCTCCCAATGTCATTGTAGCTAGGTATTTCCGTGGATTCGCGAATACGTTCGTCCCCGGGGTCGGTATCTAAAACCCACGAATGACGTTCGTCGACGTACGCGGCTTCGTGTCTACTTGTATCTCGGGATATTCATCAGCACTTCAGATCAAGACCGTAAACATCAGTTAACATATCACACCGCTCCTTAACAGGACTATCAGATAAGTCTCATGACTTCCAGATCCATTCGTCGACAAGATCGCAACAGACAACACCAAAGTCCAACGGCACTACATCGTGGAGTCCAAAGCTGTCCCTCGTGTTTTCCGCTAGTGCTCTCCACCTTGAGTCGACAAGAGACCGAAAGTAATTGGTCGATAGATGATCGCGTGGAGAAAGAAATGCCTGAAGTCACATATTTCCGTATGTATCCGTTGCTCCTCAGCCCATTGATCGCCGTCTCACATGATAGTATCTTGCTGATTTCATGACAGATCTGACACTCGACTCCGTGCTTCTTTCGCAAATGCAAGGTACAGCACAACTTCCGGGCTCTCTTCATGGTGGCCTTCACACACCCTCGAAGGAGACAACATTTCTTGAGGCCCTCTTTTGACTCTTCATGATCGGATCACACCCAGTCCATACCAACATCGACTGACTACCTATCGGTCACGGTCCATCCATCTTGGTCAAGTACTAAAGAGGCACCATGCTTCTTGCTCACCACTCACGCTCTCCATCTCCCTTTACTTCCCAACAACCTCCTTAACCTTAGTCTCAGCCTTGGCCTCCAGCTCCTTCGCCTTGTCCTTACCCGCATCCACTGCCTTCACGAGTCCCTCCTTCTCCTTGCCGCCCCAATAGTTGTACTTCAGGTAGCGATAACCCTGCGTCAACTGGGCCGTCTCGTTGACGGCGTGGCACAGGAACAGGAGGTAGTTCTTGGGTTGCACGGCGAGCGAGTAGCGCATGAAGGTAGCCGAGTAGATGCATAGGGCAAAGGTCATTTTGCCGGAGATCCTATGTAAAAGGTTAGAAAGAGAGGGGTCTGTTGGATTCGTTCAATGTTGTGGTGAGTGGGCGAGAGAGTGAGACGAGAATGAATATCCCAAGGGGCTTATCAAAAGGAAAGGCTGTAGTTTAGGAGGATTGAGACAGAAAGCTCACAACAGATGGGAGTGAGGAACATAGAAGGCAGATAGGTTGAGGTTGGTTGATAAACAAGGGGCACACACAGTTCAGGACTCTTCTGTGTATCCATCACAGCCGCGATGGGGATACCAAAATTAGAGGCAGGGCCCCAGAAGTCTGCGAGCACATTGGTATATCAGCAGCGTGTCCGACGTTTAGTTGCAAGGTATGTCCCATTTCCACCGGTTTGTCCCAACAAGCATCATGCTGCGGCAGCCTATGCAGCGCTACGGTCTTTAAGCATGCCCCGGAAGAATCGTGTCTTTGGTGATGTTCTACCCCTAAACATCATTCACCATGATGCCTATGGCCCGGGTCGTGAGGATGCCCCAGTATTATCGGGGATTGGCCCACCCGGGGGGGTCTGGGATCACGACTCGAGACCAGGCGGGTCGCTCAGCTGGCTGGGGTAAACTGGGATATGGAGACTTACGCGTTGAGCAGACATAGTTCAGAACGGGATGAGACCTGATCTTCGCATTGATCGCTTTCACAAAGGCGGCCATTTTGACTGTTTTGAACGGATTGTATACCGGCTTTGCGTCACTGATAGAGAGATTGGATGGCCCGCGAACACAGCGAAATGTTGCAGAGTTGGGGTTCCGTCCGCTCTCAGCACGGACCCGTTCACCTTCAGGACAGCTGAATGGGTGAGGCTGCCAGATGCTCAGCTCAGCACTGTTATGGAGTGGGGCAGCCTTATGGATCGGAGATACGTACCTGCTTAACAGGGACAGGCAGCAAAACTGTGGTTCTGAACGTGGTGCTATGGTTTTCATTATTTGTAGTGATGTTTGCCATGTTTTTGCAATGCTATATCCCTGATTCATGCTTGAAAAACGCAGGTACTTATCCCGCTCTAAACAAATGTTTTCAGTGAACCACCTAAACGCCAGCGTAAAATTCACACCTCTTGAACCATGGCAGAGCTTCATTTGCTTTCATCCGAGCCCGCTTCATGCAGGGGAGTTCTAGCATGTCTCAGACACAATACACCATCAGATTGGACCAGTAAATTAACGGTAAAATCGAGCAGTCAACCTCCTTATCTGCGGGGAGGCGGGTTGAAGCCAGCGGGGCCACCAGCGCCTGGGGGCGGGAACGAGGGAGGGAAACCAGGGGCACCGGGGAAGCCAGCTGCGGGAGGGAATACAGGGAAGCCGGGAGGAGGAGCTGAAATAAGTGTTAGCAAATAAGACACTGATCAAGTCCACGAGGAATAACTTACGGCCACCACGGCCGGGGAAACCGGGGGGTGCAGCACCGGGGAACCCAGGGAACGGCGGGGGAGGCGCAGCGCCGCCAACACCAGCGGCGGGACCGGCGAGCGAGATAGGAGCGGCAGCACCACGTCCAGCAGGTCGAGCAACACCAGGACCAGCCTGGAGCGTTGAAGCAAGTCCTCCACCAGTCGATTTCCCGAGACGAGCGCTCGGGTCCGCGGGGGGAGGCGATTCGACGGAGAGCGAGACAATGTGGGCACCACGGATGATTGTAAGACCCAATGTGCGCTTCTCCTCCTGTTCGACGGTCTGGACGGCGGGGGCAGACGAGCCAGGGGCGGCAGGCTTGTTTTGTCTCCGCTTAATGCGACGGAACTCTTCAGCATCGGCGAGGACGAGGTTCATGTGCTGCCAAAATGTCAGCAAAATCGGCAAGATTGAATGATACAAGTGTCAGGTTGTACCTTGTCGAAAGCAAGCATTTGTCCGGTCATCTGGCGGCCATCGTTAAGAGTGACACGCATCCGGTAGTTGATCTGTTGGCATGAAAACCGTCAGTTCTTCGTGCCATCCTTGTTATTCAAGATCGATAGTAACTAAGAGCGTGAAGTACGTACGTAACCGGCCTATGATATCGCACCTTGTCAGTTGTCTGGCGTCAACATTGATACGTCAAGCGGCAGCACGGATTGGGGAGCGATGACTTACCATCTTGCCTTGCTTGTTGGTCGACGCCATCTTTGCGACTGTCTGCTACAGAGTAGCTGTTCAAATGGTACAAAAATTAACCGTTTGGTTTCTCGACAAAGTTGCTTGAACTTCGTCGTCGCGTTCTCAACAGCTCTTCGCGGGGAGGCTTCAGAGTCGCGTGTGGTTGGATGATGAAATCAGGTCGATTTCGGTTTTGCAAGGCGCGAGGCTGAGAACTTAACACAGGCGTCCCATTTCACAGCACCTCTCGCCCGCTCCACCAGACAGGCTCGCACGAGCCATCCAGCGTAACGATGCGTGCCAAGACTTTTCCAGTTCTAGGCTTGCGCGCCTTCACTGTCCTCATGCGATTTGCCTGCCGCTCGCCAAGTGGCGGACAGGTGGGGATGGATCCCACATCCCTGGTGCCCACAATCTCAAAATTGCTGAACAAAAATCGTCAACCGCCACGGAAATCTCCCGAGCATCGCGACGGTCAAGTTTCCTTTACGGCGGATTTCGACACAAAACCGGCACCATGGTACGCGATAGCTATCAATTCCGTGGTATCTGGAATCACTTGCTGACGGTCATCATGTAAAAGTCTACCGAACAGAAGGCCCAGAACCCCATGCGGGAGCTCCGCATCCAGAAGCTCGTCCTCAACATCTGCGTTGGCGAGTCTGGTGACAGACTTACCCGTGCCGCCAAGGTGCTTGAGCAGCTGTCCGGTCAAACCCCCGTCTACAGTAAGTTTTGACCTTTTCTCGACGACGTGACGACTATTCTAGAAACGAAGAAATCGAAATCTACACGCAGAAATGATGGCCCTAACACGTCTTCCCCCATCAACCAGGCAAGGCCCGTTACACCGTCCGTACCTTCGGTATCCGCCGTAATGAAAAGATCTCCGTCCACGTCACCGTCCGTGGCCCCAAGGCTGAGGAGATTCTCGAGCGTGGCCTCAAGGTCAAGGAGTACGAGCTCCGCAAGCGCAACTTCTCCGAGACCGGCAACTTCGGCTTCGGTATCTCCGAGCACATCGATCTCGGCATCAAGTACGACCCCGGTATCGGTATCTACGGCATGGACTTCTACTGCTGCATGACCCGCCCCGGTGAGCGTGTCTCCCGCCGCCGCCGCGCCAAGAGCAGAGTCGGTGCCACCCACCGCATCACCCGCGACGACACCGTCAAGTGGTTCAAGTCTCGCTTCGATGCCATCGTCCGCTAAATTGCCCCCATTGCTTCCTGAAAAGGATTGGGTGTTCTAGTTTGGCGACATGGTGGAGGATCTGAAGTTACCGCTTCTTGAGGACCAGAGGGAGTTTTGGGCTCGGCGGCAGTTTCTGGGCTTTCTCCGGGTGGGCGTTATTCTGGTATTGGTTTCGGGAAAAAAAACACCAAATCCAGGATTTGTAGTTGCACCATGATACCTCTTATTGGCGACTTCGTCATTCTAGCTTGATCTGAATCTACAGTCGAGCTGCGGCCTCAGAGACCGACCGGCATTATGCCGGCTTACCCTACCTTCTGAACTCATGTGAATCAAGGATATCTTGTCCTTTGGCCTCTCGAGTGATCAGTTCTATCCCAGTGACAACTTGAACAGCCAGCGATCAATCATCGGCGCGTGGCGCTGCAACAGTCTCCGGCTATGGTTGTTTTGCTCACGATATATATATACTTGACATGTGTAGACTCTGTGGCATAGAAACGGCATGTCCTCTGGCGCCATTGAGTAATTTGGAGGTTTTCATTGCCCTTGGTTGAAGGTAAGATAAGAACGGCCTAACGGCTGGCTCTACATGATGGTTATCAACCGTCGCTGGCTATCATTGCTCAAAGAACGAAGCAGACGGGCTATCTAAGCACCAAGCGCTGCATGATCATTGCCATTGGGATGGAGTATGTACGGATACCACATCATTGTTGCAACCGCTTGGCATTTGTAATGCTGCTCCGACCGTGGGGGAGTCTTGTGGACGATAATGCCAGTGGTGGGGGTTGTCTTCAAGACTATCTTCGTATAGTTACTATACCAAGCACAGCTGCTGCGTGATGCTAGGTAAAGGGGCATGTTTTCTTGCTTTGTAAAACTCCGGAGCACGTTGGAATCTCTCCTTGAGGTCAAGTAACAGAGGGTACCTGATACGAACCATAAAGTGGCACGTTTAGACCATGACACGTAGTAATCAGAAGTCAATCAAGTCGAAGAGCTCTGATTATGAAATAAGATATCATACATGAAATTTATAACAGACCACGAGCCTCTAATGATCTGGCCAACATGAAAAGCAATAAACCCTGCCATCCGTCTTTCCCTCTTGTTTCCCTTTTTTCATCCCACAGACATTCGCAAAAAGCCATTTACATCTCTCATCTGTATGGGTTGTTTTATCCTCCAGGTCATTGAAATCGTGGCATATCAGCAAGATTGTCGTCCACCATGAGACAGCCAAGCGGAACAGCATCAACAGGATCCAGTTAAGGGGTACCTGAAACTCCAGAATCCTGATGGTCTTCACTGTGTAACAGGAGGAAACCGGATGCGATCCGTCCAGGATCATGGATGCATGGAGAAACTACCAGGGTAGCCCTCTAGAAGCCAAAACCGGTAGGCTGCGGCACAAAACCGTTGGTTTGTCCGTAAGGAGCTGGGGATGCCTGGCCGGGGCCGGCAGTGATCATAAGCCGGTTGCCAAGAATGGGCGTGTTGTCCTCGACCTTCTCCTTCTCCTGCTCCTTAGCCTTGCGAGCCTCGTTGTCGGCCTTCAGAGAAGCGAGCTCCTTGGTCTGCTGGCAGAGCATGTTGATCATATAAGGCATGGTAAAATCATTGAGACCATTGCGCCAAGAAAGCTCCAGGACAAGGTCGGGCCTGATAAGGTCATAGCAGGCATAAAGCATACCAACGTAGCACTCGCGGTTGCCAATGTCGACGAACTAGAGAGATAAATGTCAGTAAGGGAAGCCAACGTGACTTGATGAGCTTGAAAAGAAAAATAACTTACGTAGCGCAGAAGCTCCTCAACAACTTCCGTCTTGCCGGAGATGGCGGCCGTCTCAATAGCATCCTTCCAGAGCTTATCCTGCTTGGAAAGGTTGATGGACTTCTCCCAGCGCTTGTTCTTGCGGTAGATGCTGGCAGCAATTTGGCGGAAGAAGACAAGGTCGTGCTTCTCCAGACGACCGGCAAGGTCCACGGCGTCGTAGTTGTCGTAGTTGTTCACAGAGTCGCGCAGAGTCTTGTAGTCCTCCTCCTCAATGAGAAGATCATTGATCGCGTCGTTAACGGTCCGCTTGTTTTGAGATTGGACGCTAAGGAGGAAAGGCTTGATCAGGGGCAGGTTATCGGACTTCTGGAACATGCGGACAACACGGTTGACATCGATGCGCGGGGTCAAAACCTGGAGAAGATCAGTGAGCAACGAGGGATGTTGCTCCAGGTAGAAATTGATGGCCTTGTAGTAGATTTCAAGGTTGGCCACCTTGACGGTGATCTCCTTGAACTGCTGATGCTCCCAAGAGTTCTCAGGGCGCTCCATAACGGCGAGAGCAGCATTGTCAAACTCATCGTAGTGGTAGTAGCAG